TTTTAAAAAAAAAAAACTTGGGTGGGGGGGGGTATAAAAAGGGTTAAAAAAAGGGGGGGGTGAAAGAAAAGAAATCAGGGGGGGGGGGGGACCCAAAAACGAGCAGGTATTTTTAGAAGGGAATAATAATGATTTTAAAAAAAAAGGGGGGGGGGGGGGGGGGGGGGCGGCTACTAGACCATGACCACGCGTCCTCGAGAGGACGATGTAGCACTGTTCCCACAAGGCCGATCAAATGCAGCCAATCGTTCCTGCCTACTTTGCCAAAGGTAGCTCAAAACCATTTTCCCTAGCCTATCTATCCAAGCGATATGAAAATAACTTCCGGTTTTTTCAACCCACACTACTCCGCAGCGGCAGGTTGTGGGTTCGATTATCTCTCGGGAGGTTTTTTCCCCCTGGACGATCTAGTTCTCTCCCGAGACAAAGAACAAACCCCTGGCAAGCGGCTGGTGCGCCGGTGGTCAAGCCTCTCCAAACAGTGGAAAAGCGGCTGTTGCGAGAACAGCAGCACAAGATACGCTACCGTGCACTGTCCAATTGGCCGACCCCCTCACCTGTCTCGCATTTCGGCCGACTTTCTCGCGGCGAGGTCGATGAGCGCTTCGTCCATGCCCGCCGCCCGTGCAACATTCAGCCCATAGCTCTTGTGGGCTTGGCCAACCACGAGCCGGTACAGGAAGGTTACACCGCGCGCCTCTGCGTTCCGTTTGGGGTTCCCAACGCCACCGCCACCGGCACTTTCGCTGACTTCTTCTTCGTTTACCGGCGGTTCTTCAGTGGAAGCAGCGGCCGAGTCCTCAATGAACGACATGTGCGCGTTTCTCACGGTGCCACTGAAAAAAAATCAGGAAAAAAACAGCCACCCCGACCAAGAGAAGATGGCATCGCGGGCGACACGCGTTCGGGGGACCAGGGGGAATGAAGCGCACGGCCGTGATCAAGCACAGTGCTGGAATAGTCGGCACGTAGACACGATATGCGGCGCCTGCAAAACCGGGGGAAGCAGGTTCAATGCACTGCTTTGGGTCCTCAGTCGTGTTTGACTCCCAAACGTCTTCACTCTTCACTGAACGGGTCTGAACCTTGGCCTTCCAGCCACAACGACATGGTGTGCGGGCATCTCCAGCAAGTGTCTCACCTCAGAGACTTATCCGAAGCGAGGTCAGCGACCTGAGGATAGTGCGTGACGAACAGAGTGGCGCACCCTATGTCTCGAACGACGTGGCGAAGCGTGGCGAGGGCGATGGCAACACCGTCATGGGTGCTGGTTCCTCGACCCAGCTCATCAAGGACAACGAGGGATCGCCGAGTAGCTTGCTTGATGATGTAACTCGTGTGCCACAATTCCACCTTCAATTTGAGGAAGGAAGGTGTGGGTGAGAGTAACTTGAGCGCCCGATGGGCAGAGAAAGCGAGCAAAGGGTACACGGCTAGAAAACTGAGCACATCTGGGAGAAAAAAGTAACCAATATTCGCCCGTGGTGGTTTTGCGGCGCATAGCTTCCCGTGACAACGTTCCCACAGGCAGGGGATACGCAAGGACACATCCTGGATCAAAGTCATGAGACCCGAGGGAGGGTATCGCTAGGATATTATTCCCATAGCTCGTCCCTCGCGGCCCGTAAACGTCAACAAATACGCCGCAAATCGGTAACCACGGTCGCTCGACAACAAACCCTGTGTCTGTCTCACCATGAACGTACTCATGTCAGCGGCTAGATCGTCCCCGGCACCCATTCTGGTGTAGACACCGTCCAAGCAGTACATGTCAGCAGAGTCCGCTGCAACATAGCTCCCCATCTAATTCCAAAAGGGAACAACGTGAAGGGGGGTATGGAGGTAGCCCACCGCGACACTAGCGGTCACTTATACATTATATGCCGTGGTTAACAGGTACAACATGCCACAGCACAAAGAGAGAGCCCGACAACATGCTCATAGCGAACGAAATGTACGGAACGAGAGAAAGGCTAAGGAGCGCAGTACGTTGTTCCAGATATTGTAAATCAATTGAAGGTTGCTTCGCGAAAGGTGTCACGTCCTACACGAGCACTGCGATCGGCCGCGTTCGTGTGCTTGCACTCCCAAAAAAAAATAGCAGCACATCGCCGGCAGAGCACGATGACACCGTCTGACCTGTCCCAGGATGCAAATTAGTGCCGCCATCCTCACGGTGCTGCTTTTCCCTCCCATGTTGGGCCCGGTCACGACCAAGCACTCCCCTCTCCTGTCCCACGGGTTGATCGCAACGAAAATCAGAGTCAATCTCGAGACGGTGCGCCACCGCTCGACTCAAAACGCCAAATCGCATGGATCACAGGCAGGCAGAGGGCATGTGGCATGGCGCTAGCCTCCTTGCGAGCAACTGCGCGGACTGTTAAAAACACAAGCAGCCCTCACCGCCACGTCAACGATTTTGCTGAACGCACGTACGCGACGGGCATCGTGCAGACAGACGGTGCATCATGCGACACGAGCGGCGGCTCACCTAAGGCTGACGTCGTTCGGTACGAAACCTCCCTCCAGGACGCGCTCCACTGTAGGGTGTCGCGCGCCTCGAAGCACGATCTCGTCCACACCATCGGCTTCGTCGTCACTACCACCATCGCCACCACTCTCATCCCCCTTGGCATCGGCCGTGGGGCGGTAGTTTGGCCGAACATAGCCGGGCAACTTTGCGACCACGGCAAGAGAGAGCAGGGCGTCCAGCGTGCCCAAGGCTTGGACCGCTGTTCGAAACCCCGCGTAGCACTCCTCGTCCACCTGCGCACGCACGCAAGATCACGGCACTTAAACCAACGCACACCGTATCCAGATCTTCAATGTAGACCCGGCCTCGTTCCCGTTATGGGGCGATTACGCCGCTGTTTTATGACTTGTCCCCCGGATACTCTTGTTGCTCATGTTAGACGCCACTTTTACTGTTGCGGCGAGCGTTTTTGTGTTGTTTCTTCTGGGCCTTCTCGTTTCATACAATAACGTAGCTTGGTTTTTTCGGGTGGTGCATAGCCTGTCCGAGTCAGTTGCACCAGAACGGATGTTCGAAGCGGCTACAGCAGACACCGGAACATTGCAAAAATGTGAAGACAACAAACAACCAAGGGCCCACGGTGCTCACCTGTGACACAAGCTCTGCCCATGCCTGCCTGGCGGCGAGGTTGCGGGACTCCCTGGCCCTGAGAAGCTCTTGTTGCAATCGCAACACTTCCGGGGTGTGGAACCGGGCGAGATCCTTCGTTTGACTAACCTTTAACAGAAGTCGAAAAAATGTACACGTTCAACGGGACAAACAATCACCGGAAAAATGGGAAACAGAGGCGGCAAACAAGTAAAAGCTATGTCGCACATCCCCACACAAACCACCAACGGAGCGCCACACGCATTCGGAAAGGTTTTGAGTTCCACGTGAGGTGTACTAGAGCTCAATAGGTACCCACGTACAGTAACCGAAGTTTGGCGGTGGAAAAAGCGGGGGATAGATAGGTCGAAAGAACGCCCAATGTCCCCGAAGCAAAAAAAAGAGCTGAGCGGTATGGTACATCATAGCAAGATGGGTCTGGCGTCGCCTGCCCGTCACGTTGCAACACACATACCATAGCCGTTTAGGCTGCAGAAACCCATCGTGACAATAGCAATATTGCCATTGCAAGCACCCGTCGGGTTCCTTGTGTGAGGGACGTCTATCGCACCTGCATCCAGCCAGACGGAACCAGCTTCTTGGCCTCGCTCTTTCGGAGCTCCACAAGGTACTCGACAGTGCTAGTAGCTCCGGTTCTCAGCGTTTTCCACTGGAGACTTGGCTTCCGGAGGATGGTCCGTACAGACTGCAGCTCCTGCTCAACGTCAACGTCGATCACAGGGGGGTCGGGGGACTTGAATCGACACGAAGTGGTAGGTGCTTGTCACAGTCCAGAATCAATCCAATGAGAAGCAATCACCCGCACGCGGCTCTGCTCAATGCTACAATAGATCACTTATCGGCGGCGGCGTCGCCCCGAGTATAGGACAAACGACCCCTGCGACGGAACACATGGAATATCCCAAGAGCAAAGGACGGGGAGGTGCAACAGCCATAAAGAATCGAATAGCACGATTGCGGTGTACGAACGGCAGCAAACGAAGAGGGTGATATTTAGGAGCAGGTGAAAATTCACGGGGTATGTAGGGAAGTCGACGGGATACAACAATAGTCCTCACCGTTTCCAGGTCTGCCTTGGCCGCTTCCTCTTCCTCTGCAGCTGTCTTGAGCTCTTTGCAGAGACTCTCGCCATCGACCAGCGCTCGCACATAATCATCCTTAGGTAGATTCGATGACGGCGGCGGCGGCGTCAGCCTCAGGTGTGAGCGTCATTTGCGTCTGAGCTTTCCGTATACCACCACGTGTACGAATACGTAACTGGCCACCGGTCATGGCTTGTGGCATGAGAGATGACGGCAAGACTTTAACAAACATGGAACAGGGAACCTCCCGTTGCCGAAGAGAAACCCCAGCTTGACATCGGTAAGACACGAAAAATCAACCCATCCCCCAAGACTGTCAATTTTGTCGATTCATGTCCTGGAGACATATGTTCTACAAAGGTTTCTGCAATTGTCTACCATCTACGCGACTCCTACCACGATGGAGAGAGTCTTACTCCATACCTGGCACCAAGGCCATGCAACATGAAGGGAGCGTCGTCATCTTACCGAGGCAGCTGCTTCGGCGTTTAGCTCCCCCAAGTACCGCGCGATTACCGGCGCCATGTTGGCTGGAACGTCAGCGAGAGCATCCAAGAGCACTACCGACCTTGGGCCACCTCGCTGCTGCGAGGGCCCAGCCCCTTCGGTCTCGTCCGCACCTCGTGCCGTGGGAGGGTGGAAAACTCCGAACACCTGTCAAGGGTGAGCCGATTCTTTCTCTGTCGGACAATCCCGTAGTCGAAAGGCGAACAGGACCGAACGTGGACACGCAAGTGCACCCTTCCACTTTCGTTGAAGTGACCTATGTCCCTCGAACGCAAAAGTAATCCTACAGGTCAATCGCCATTGGTTGGCCGTTGTGAAAACAGCCGCACTCCTTGGCACCCCCCTCTGCCAGTCACATTCACCGCTGCACCACCTCTCATCTCAGACGTTTAGTTTTGGCCACCAAGACTTCGGAGTTAGGACAAGTAGACCTCCTCGATCGTACATGTAGCTGTTTGTCTTCTTCCTCCCCCCCGTCCCCCTTCCCCTCTCGTGTGCCCCGCCTACTCTACACACCCTGCTGCAAATCATCTGGATACCTTGCGCATGGTCCCGAGCAGGGAGAGCAGACGGTTCGGCTGGATCCTGCGGTGGTGCAAGCTTGCGATGGCCGGATCGAGGTCCTTCAGGTCTCGCAAGGTCGGTCGAAGGCGTTCCATCACCGAAGGAGGGTCAGTCACCAGCTCTTCCACGGCGTCCTTCCCATCGTCCGTGGTCGTGTATAGCATAAAGTTACATGTAGAGGGAGGGGTGATCAGGGGAACACCCCGCACGGAGTAATCAAACAACGTCCGCAATGGTGGCGGCCGGTATGACGACGAGCAACCAGGGTCCGCGGTGGTGGGGGAGCGAAAATGTCAAGAACGACAGACGACCAACTCGGAAGAAGATACAGGACCTCTCAACGCCTTCCTTGTGAAGGGTCAGCGAAACATGTGGTAGAAATAGCGGAACGGCGTTTCGCCAAGCGCAACCTCGCCGCGTACGTTGTGCTCTTCCCGAAGAGTTTGGAAGCTGTCTCATCGGGTAGAAAGGGGAAAAAAAAACAGCTACAGCTAGCTAGCCTCTCCGTGACTACCTGCCGTGCGGTGATGTCCTCTGGCGACAGCAAGGGTTGTCGAACCCAGCCAGCTAGCACGCGACGGCCGAAGGCAGTCTGGGTTCGGTCAAGGATCGAAAACAGAGACCCCGCCTCGCGTCCGTCCGCCTGACACTGCAGCACCTGCCAGTGGGTGAGGACGACGGTGAGGTGGGGATTACGGAGTGTGTTTGGCAACACGGGGGGGGGGGGGGATGGATGGGGCAGAGGCAAAAAAAAGACAAAAGGGGGGGGGGGGGGGAGACAAGAAGCGCGGAGAGATAACTCGACTGTCTCCTTCGATGTATCCTCACAGAGGGTATGACCTCAGGTGCGCGGCTGTCTGTGCTCCACGAGCCAATCTTTTGCTCAGCGCCCCCCACCTCCCCGGGCGGGACAAGAGAGGAAAATGAGGTCACCCCGGACAAAACGAGACAACACGCTGCGACAAAAACAATCGCATCCTTGCGTGGCAATACCACCGTGGTAGATACCTCAAGGTCGCGAAGAGTCACCGCGTCGAGGGTCATGTACTGCGACTTGGAAAAACTCGACAGATCTGGCGACGCCAGTGAGCGGTCCAGGCCGAATCGCTGAAAGAAAACAAACAAGGAACCAAGAAGCGGATTGGAGTAGGGTGGTGTTATGGATAATACGCACGTACACACAAGTGCTTGTGCGCAACCTGGCTACAAATTCGAGCAAGGTTAAGATGGAAAGCCCGAAGACGAAGGACCAAGGTGGAGGGAGATTCGCTAACAAGTGGCACCGAAAGAGAAGAAAAAAAGATTGTGGAATCTCCACGACAGTGAAAGTTCTTGAAACTGTCCGATTTCTTCGATCTGCATATGCATTTTCCTCATAGAACGATTCACCACATGTGCAAAACAGCTCTTTTTTATACACACAATCAAAGCGTTGCCGACAAAACGTTGCACGCTAGGCTATGTGACAATACGTTGCTCTTCCTCCACCAAATATCATTCAATAGAGTAAGTAGCCCCGACATCGCCGCAAGCTGTTGGACAACAAAGTCACCCCATAGATGCTCACCTCCAGGTGGGTCATCAGGGGACCCAGAGCGCAGATAGCCGGGCGAGGGAGATCAAGCACCCGGGTCAGCACAGGCGCACAGCCATCACCGCCGCCCTCGCCATTGCCATCCTTTTCGCCTTCGCTTGCATCTGGCTTCGACGACCCTCTCCCCTTACCGTAGTACTTGGACAACGACGCCTTCAGTGTTTGCCGTGGGGGGGGAGGGGGGGGGGGGGGGGGG